TATTGTGCTCTGAGTACCCCTGGAAGGCCCTGATTCGATTATGTCCAATACTTGTTCCTGTGTGCTTGGAACCCGAACATCGATTGTCGTCCACTGTCTTCCTGGAACCACTCTCCTCGCCCTTTGTTGGAGTGAGTTCTTTCAGCTTCTGCTATGTTACTGTAGCATTTCCCCTGAACTAATCGTATATCCGCAAATTTGTGAAAGAAATTCAAAGTAAGTCACAGTTTGACATATTATTGTTATTATTGACAAGGGCTATCCACGTGTAACTATCTGATAATGACAAAAAACATAATTGCCGCTGTGCCTTTTCATCAAAAAATTGTAGAAGAGAACTTTTTCAATATCGAAAATTTTCGTAATTTGAAGCGAAGATCGCAATTTTTCTTTTTGAATGCTTAAGTATTCCAATATGCTACCATATAAACAGGAAACAATTTCAAAATAATGCTTAATAACAAAGTTGAAATTCGATCTTCAACTGTTAATATCTTATAGAAATTTTCGAAAAAACAATTTTCAATATTTTTCTCGTACTACCCAAGGGGGCCTCTGTCACCCCTTAAAAGGAATGACGACAATTTTGAATCACCCTGTATACCAATTGCTGAGAATGCTCTCATATTCATGAACAATTTCATCGAATGTTGCTTTTTGTGACTCGTGAAGACACCACCGGAAAATGATTAGATACGTTTACCATCTATGGTTGTGTTATTATTAATTGGTACAGTGCATGTTCTTGTAGTAATAGGTACGCACATGTTTGATATTAAATTAGGCACTCTGTGTTTCCGAAGATATTGACTGCGACTTATTCGTCATGCTTTGGCTATAGCTCTCGCGCTGCTGAGTGCCTCTCTCTCGCTCAGTCAAATAGTGGACCAAGCGTTACACAGAACGGGACGGCTCAATCTTATTCAATTCCCGGAAACTATCTATACTTAATCTAAAACTAAAACCGTTGCACGTTATCAACCGTCAAACTGACCCTGTTGTCAAGTTGTGATTAAAATCTTTTGTTTTTGATAAGGGATTATTGAATTGGTTTTAGATCAATAATAATCGCTAATAGTAAAGAAATAGTACAGAAAAAAACAGGTTTAGATCACTTTTGAAGACTTTAAAAGGCTCAAAGCTAACAACTACAATTGAGATATGGGAAAAATTAGCAAAAATTTATAGGCAAAAATAAAAACCAACCAAACCAAAAACTAATCGATAAATCAAACGTCAACTTAAGAACACAGTAATTCGCTACCAACTTATAAAGCTAAAAATTCCTTCAAACCGAATCAAACAGTATAGATTCGTTTATTGACGGAACATATCGGCGATTGTGTCTCTCTTTAATGTACTTTGCTATAAATAAAGTGAACGTGATCGTGACGTTTAACGATATATAATACTACGTTATAATTTTATTAGTAATATATTTGTTTGTGTGGTATGAAAATTACTAGTTTGGGGTGTTGATTGACGTGCAACGGTTTTAGTTTCAGATTTAGTATACCTGCTTCTACTGTCTCGCTGTGCCGACTTTACCCGCAGAAGTTTACACTTCAAAAATAATTAAAATTAGGTTGCTTTGTATAGAACTACACAGGATGCTTGGAAAATGCATAAGAAAATTTCAAGTGCTAAACTAATGGTCAGTCAAGTAACAAAAATTCGATATCTGAATATTTTCCGAGTTACAATTCAAATATTGGACGTTTCTTCTGGGATCAAATTAAGATATGTACAGAGTTTTAGCTAAGTGATCCCCAACTCTCCCTTGACAGTTTCACACCGTATATAACAGCACTGTTAATTTTTGAAGTGCAATTCACTGCTGTGATTTAATTAAAGCTGTTGAATAGATTGGACAAATATTTTAGTTTAATTGCAACAAATGACATGAAATATAAACAGGGCTTAAAAATTGATTGAACTGAACGAACGATGCAATGAAATAGTGCCCAGATTGCATATAGTTAAAAACTTACCGAATGATTTAGCAATTCCAACATTTGCTAAAATTGCTACAAATGGTATTACGCCGATCCCGTATCCTAATTGAGCTACCATCTGAGATATTGTGGTTCCATTGGTACCATTATTGGCTTCTATTGGTTGCAGTGGCACTGAGAAGTTGGGAAATCCCGATGGAACTTTAGCTAAATCATGTTTCAGAATATTAATACTACCAATGATAAATTATATGAGTACTTACATGTTAATGTGAATGGCGTTTGTTTATGAAATTTGAAAACAAATGCCATTAGTGCAGAGAATACAACAACCATCGCGTTTCTTCCCACTGATGCATACCAAATGCACTGCTTACTCTTCGAAGGTTTGTTCGACATTCGGTTGTTTTTTGTTGGTGCTTCCCCATATTTTGAAACCATCTAATCAACAGTAAGAATATTCTTAAGATTTTATTAGCATATTTTTCGGATATGTCATATTCAAGCACCCCCCGAAGTATCTCCACCTTGACGCGGTGGGAGGGCTGGCTTGTCTTAATGATCCCGAGAGCCATGTCGACGGTAGTATAACTTCCTGTAGAGACACTCAAGTCGAACATATCAAAGGAGAAATACCAGGCTAAGAGAGATACCTGGTCCTCCAAGGATGGGAGTTGAGTTGTAATTCTAATAACTGTACACTCGTTAATCAATTAAAAGTCGTTCAAGTACCGATAAACATGCCTCAGAACTCGGACGGAGCCAAAAGTAGCTGGAAACAGCAGCGGAAATCGACAATGGAACAAGGAATAAGCAACAGAAATTTGTCTTAGAATGTATCCAGCGTCAATTAAACATAACAAACCTGTCTGAAACGAAAAACAAAGAACAAGGGAACTATTTTATTTTTTTACAGCGGAGTTGGCAAAAGTAAAAGAGCAAAGGCAGGAATCTCAATAATGATACACAAGAGACCGCAAAAAAACAGAAGACTATGGGAAGCTATAAGCAATCGTATTATAAAATTCACAATTCAAATGACGGGAAGAAATATGACGCTGGCAGGAGTGTATGTGAGCCTACAGCTCAAACGAAAGATGGTTTACTTGGAACTTAATGGAAGAAAAACTTTCAGTAGTGGTCGTATGACCTACGCCGGAAGGGAGGGATCTACAATTGGAGATTCCCAGCTGGTAACAACCATAGAATCGTGGGGAATCAAATAGACTTTGTGACGATAAACAGGAGGTATCGCAACACGGTTGTCTCTTGTAAGACATAGCCAGGCGCAAATATACTATCAGATCACAACTTATTGCTGGTTCGTACTAAACTTCGACTAAAGAAAACAGTCAAAAAGAACCCATCACAAAATGCTGACATGCAGAAACTCAGACAACGTACTCCAGAACTCAATACTGTATCCGAAAACAGCTACAATGGAAGACCTGTGGAATAAAATAAAAATAACTATAACCTACGTCACAGAAGTGCAACAGGAGGATACCAGAAACGGGGTCCAGGAATAATCTTGGACCCGAATGACAACATAATTACCGAGACAGCTGAGACAAACAGCTCAGAAGATGGAAGCAGTACATGGAGAGTCTTCTGGAAGACAAAAAAATTGATAATGTACCCGCAGTGGTTGGCGAGGAAGGACCTATCATCACACAGGAAGAAGTGGAATCAGCTTTCTAACGACTAAAAAACAACAGAGCTCCTGGGCAGACCAGATCCATAGAGAAGTCCTCAAACTATTAGGCCCAGACCAGATAAAACTCCTGACCAATCTCTTCAACAAAATTTACGCGGGCGGCCATATGCCAAACGACTGGCTGTTGTCAACATTCATCCCTACAACTAAATGCTCCGACTACAGAATAATCAGCATAATGAATCACATCCTAAAAGCCTTTCCTAATATCATCCAAGCACGTGTATTTGAGAGACTCGACGAGAGAATAAGTGACACACAGTTTGGCCTCAGGAAGGGACTTGGCACCCGAGAGGCTCTATTCTCCCTACAGGTCCTTATTCAACGAGTACGGGACGTCAACGCAGAAATATTTGCATGCTTCATATATTTCGAAAGGTCTTTGACAAAGTCCAACATGATAAACTCATCTGAATCATACGGGAATCAGGAATTGACGACAGAGACACAGATATACTATCAAGGCTATACTTGCAGCAAAAAGCCATTGTTCGAGTCGAAAATGAAGCATCAGAAGAATTTAGCATAAGGAGAGGAGTGCGTCAGGGCTGTATATTGTCACTTCTTCTATTCAACGTGTATTCAGTAAATCTATTTGAAGAGGCATTAGCCAACATAGAGAATGGGGGTTGTAATAAATGGACAAATAAAAAATAACCTAAGATTGATGATACCGTCCTTATAGCAGATACTGCTGAAGGACTTCAGAGACTTAAAGACCGGGTGGAGACTTCATGCGACAGATACGGTATGAAGATAAACTGGAAAAAACACACATATTAATTATGAGTAAAAACTTCATCGGCAACCTACAGTTTACCGCTAACAATGTGGTTCTCGCAATAGCCGAGACAGTTACATACCTAGGCTGTACCTTGAATAGGGACTGGGATCACTCTCGAGAAATAAGATGCCGAATCGAAAAAGCAAGAGGTACGTTTAATAATATACGCAACATACTATGAAACCTATCCCTAAACATCCATACTAGAATAAGTAATAAGAATAATAATAAATATAATTTGAAATGCTATGTACTCCCAACCCCTTATATGGGGCGGAAGCGTGGACAATTACTGATGACTCTGATGACTGATGAGATATCGTGCTAGCGCCGCATACTTAGAATCCCATGGATACACCACGTATCAAACAATACGGTATTACAACGCATCGGTGGACAACTAGAATACCTACCAAATATCAAACGAAGAAAATTGGAATACTTTGGGCATATCATGCGAAATGAAAATACCACCTTCTTCAACTCATCCTGCAAGGGAAAATAGAGGGTTGAAGGTCAGCAGGACGCAGACGAATATTATGGGCTGCGCAATTTCCGAACATGAACCGGAATGACATCAACAGCTGTATTCAGAGCGGCAGTGAATAGAGTAATTTGGACCAAAGTGATAGCCAACATCCACAAAGAATAGGCACTTCAAAAAGAAGAAGAATAGAACAACTGAAAAAGAATAGCAACACTTGATAACGGAGAGAGATCCTGTATAACGGAGGCAGGCCAAGAATCTCTTGCACGCGGAATGCAGAATGCGAAAAGTAAACCATACTGGAGGGACAAGAATGTAGAGAAACAAGTTAAGGAAAAAAAAACAAATTTAGGAAAAATTCCCACAGGATAAGGATGCACAAACAAAAGAAGAATATAAGCAAGCAAATAACTTTTAAAGAAAATAAAGGTAGAAGAACTAAGAAGACTACTAAAGAAGAAGAACCAATCTTGGAATAAAAGATGCGACTGCATATAGCAGCCGATAGGAGGCACACGAAGCTTATTGACCTGGAAAACCGTAAAAGCAATGAGATCAAGTAACAAACAGTCTAAATGGTATAACAAACTCACAGTGGCCACAACATTTTAAACACCTATTGAAAGAAGAGCTACCGCAATACAAGAGATAAGATCATAAACCGCTCAATGAAAACCACATACTTCTCAAAATAGCACAATAAATTAAACAATCTAGCGAACCTAGCGGAATATATCCCGAATTTATAAGATACGGATCACGCAAACTAACACAAAAGCTAACCAACCTATATGAAAGTTTTTTGGTATAAAATATAAATAAAAAGATTGGTATAAAAGTGGGAGATGAGACACTGCACAGCCTTGTTTTGCAGATGACCATGTAGTGATACCTGAGGACAAACATGACAAGATCGCTAAAGAAAGAGTCTGAGCTAGCGAGACTTACATTAAATTTAAAATTAGACTTACATTAAATTCATAATACATGAGGTGTGAATACTTTATGCATTATGGTGCAGACTATGATGAATGTGACGATCTTCAACGGGAAAACGGTCTGATTAAAGGAGTGCATTTATACAGGGTGGGCCACTAAGAGTGGTGGTCGGCTGTATCTCACAAACTATTAGTCGTATCGATTTCTAGTAAAAAAATACATAAGTAAAGGGGCTGAGAGAAATGGCCGGAAATAACTTTCAAGTTTGTAAAATGGCCGCTAGAGGGCAAAATTGCAATAGAAAAGTTTAAATAAGTATTTTTAGCGGTTTCAGTTAGGCTAGGGCAGGTTGGAAGTACCTTAATTCTATTCTTGACAAACTTTCAGTTAGTTCTTGTGGGAGTATTATTGTTCTAGCTAGTCAAATAAAGTGGTGGGGGAAAATCAAATAACGGTTCAAAAAGTTGTTAATAGCTCCGTATTGGCTTAACCAAATTCAACGCTTAAATTGCAATTGAATAGCTCTTGATTTATAAGGCCGCGTTATAAAAAGTCGTCAAACTTATTCGATTTTCTTAAATTTTTTAAATGAAATAATATATAGTTTTTTAGCTGCTTAGGAGTATAAAAAATGAAGCAAAATGGAAGATATAAGCAATTTGACAATAACAATTATATTGTTGGGTTGTTGACAAAACAATCGGTTCTGAGACGAACATCAGTTTCTTACAAATATACTTTGGACATATGAAGCTACTTTTAACAGCAATAGGGGAGTTAATTTGCATAATATGCATTATTGGTCCAGGACAAACCCTCACTGGACGCAGGAAGTTGAGCATCAAGGGCGATTTAGTGTCAATCTCTGGTGCGGAATAATTGGGGGCCAAATTATTGGTCCATTTATATTTGAACAAAAGCTCAACGGAAATATTTATTTACACTTTTTACAAAACCAACTATCATTACTATCGGTGTGTGGTTTTCACTATTTTGCTTGATTTTTTATACTTTTTTTAAGCAGCTAAAAATTTATGTCATTCTATTTAAAAAATTTAAGAAAATTGAAAAAGTTTGACGACTTTTTATAGCGGGCCCTCTGGCGGCCAAAGCGGCAATAATATCGGCCAATATTTTATAGTAGGTGTTAATGTAAATCAAGAGCTATTCAATTGCAATTTAAGCGTTGAATTTGGTTAAGCCAATACGGAGCTATTAACAACTCTACGAACCATTATTTGACTTTCCACCACCACTTTATTTGACTAGCTAGAACAATAATACTCCCACAAGAAATAACTGAAAGTTTGTCAAGAATAGAATTAAGGTATTTGCAACCTACATTAGCCTGTCCTAAACTGCTAAAAATCCGTATTCAAAATTTACTATTGCAATTTCGCCTTCATGCGGCCATTTTGCAAACTTGACAGTTATTTCCGGCCATTTCTCTCAGCCACTTTACTTATATATTTTTTTACTCGAAATCGATACGACTAATAGTTTGTGAGATATGGCCGAGCACCTCTCTTAGTGGCCCACCCTGTACAAGTATTTGTGGGTCAACGTTAATAAGCAGGAAAAGAGTAATGATGAAGTGAGAGAAAGAATGAATAAAGGTAGGAAATCCACTAGAGCATTGAATTCACTATTGTGGGAAAAATATTAGGAAAAGCACCCAGCTGCAAAAGCATCGAACAGAGTGCATTGTGTATGGAGAGGAAGTACGGGATGTAATAAAGGCAAATGGAAAAAAAAATTGAACAAAAAGGATCAGAAACGAAATTATCAAGCAGAATATCGGCATAGAAAAGGATATTATGGATGAGGTCGAAACGAAACAGTTAGTATGGTTCGGACACACAAAACGAATGGGACAACATCGATGGTCAAGAAAAATACTGGAATAAAAAAAGACCGATAATAAGATCAAGAACAAGCTGGTGGAATGACGTGGATTATACAATGAAATCAATGAACCGGAACGAGAAACTGAGTCACGAAATAGTGAAGACTGGGAACGGAGAGACGACGACAGCCGTATATATCTAGATATAATATATGCAAGCATTGGCCTTCTAAGTTCTGATCAATTGGGCTTACTGTGCAAATGACATATCCTAACGCCTGTATTCTAACAGGCTGTGAGTGAAAGATCCCGGTGAGAACGTGTCGTAGTTTACATTTATTTTACTCGTATGAATCTATACGTAGACTAAATATAGATGGAACCATATGATCAAGTAAAAACCACATTCCTGTTGGCGTTTAATGGTAAAAGTTTCAAAATAGTCTGACTGTTACAGTTAGTAGTAAATGCTACAAGCAAGCACTGCCAGATTTTCTTGTAACACACACAAAAACGTGTCCCTGCACAACGCATTGACGACTGAGGATTCACTCAATAAACTATGTTTAAATACCCAAATAGGTTCCACCAGCTTAAAATAATTTGTAGAACGATTTGTTTATTTTCTTTAATTTTATCGACAGAGAACGAAATATTTCAAATATCAATAAGGAAGAAATAATGTAATACTTACTCTCAATAAAAGTAATATCAATATGCAAGATAGGCCTAACAAAGTGTCCCACAATTGAATTCCAGTAATATGTAGGAAGAACTGTTTCCATACGTTAATGAACGATTCAGCTTTATAATTAAGACCAAAAAGACTCTTAATCTGGGAAGAAGCAATTGTTATGGCGCCGGCTGACGTAAATGCTGATACTACTGGTGTTGATACAAAATCAACAAGAAAACCTATAAAAAAACAGAAAATTAGAATCAAAACAAAAATTGCTTTAAAAATTTCCACCTTAACTAAACATTTGCATGTGATGCGTACTAGGAAACTAGAGCGTCGATAAGTATTGATGGTTTAATAATTTGAGTTACCGCTATTAAGTTACCTTAATTGTCTTGTCGCATAATGCTGAAGATGGATGAATTTTTGAAAAACTTGAGAGATTTTTATAATTTCATCAGTTTCATAAATTATTTATCCGAAATTGTATTCAGTTCATAATCTCTTAATGAGTACTTTATTCTTCGATCTATGTGTGAAACTTGTGCCTGAAATATACATGTTTTATTTAAAACTCAACCCAGCGTTCTTATTGGAGTGCGCTTTACGTACAAGGTGTCCTACGGGGAACCACTGCGATCGATATATGGTAAACTGACCTCGGAAATTTGAAAATTGATTAGTATACCAGTCGATGGGTGCAAGGGATCTAAAATATATTCAGGATAGCCACACTTCCGGTTATACCGGAAGATGGATCAACTTATATAACTGTATAGAACACCCTATATACAGGGTTATTCACGCTATACGGCACGGACGTTTCCGGCTAGCCCGCTTGTTTTTTGCAAAGTATTATTTGATGAATCCACAGACGCCTATCGGGTGCCCATTTTAAAAATATTTTTGTTTTGTACAGAGTGTCCCAAAAGCCCTAAAAGTATCAAAGTTGTGTTTTTCTAAGTGAAATACCCTATATATTATTGCATTTTTGGATCCTCTGAGTAAAATAAGTGTTTGTTTTAATAATATTTATAATGTGTAAATCTAAAGGTTTTTTCAATAATTCGAATTTTATCAAAAACTAATATTATTTTCATGTGTCAAATACTTTAGAATTATTTAAGTTATGTAAACGTAATTCGTAGTG